ATCCATTAGAATTAACATTGAAAAGTTTTCAATCATCACATCGTGTTTTATCATCACCAGATGTTCAAAATTTTGTGGTATGTAAAAATAAATACGTTTTTTTTTTCTCATTATTTGACAATAGTCATCTTCTATAATACAGATGATAAAACAGAAAACTAAACATGTGTAAGATTAGAATCAAAAACTAAAAATTTATCGAGACTACGAGAAAAACAGTTGTTCAGAACAGGAACAAAAAAAGAATCCAAATATGAGTATTTAAGAGGTTTTTTAAATTTAATACGAACAAAATTTGAAATAGTTTTTTCTAAGCCGAGCCCGAGACTAAAAAAAACTTGATCTCGTACATGTCTAGTGAAAACTGAGGTATTTCGAATGTATTTTTCTGGCCATGACGGGAGCACTTCAAACGTGTGAGTATTGGCAAAATGAAATGTTACCGGAAGGGTTCGCCATAGTCTAGAGTGTCCTGCGAAACTTTCGATGAAAAAAAAATGCAATTCAAGAAGTTGAATTTTTCGAATAATGATTTTTTTTTAATGAAACAGTTGTACCGCCATTTCTGATGAAGGCACATTTTCAGCTGCTCCCTTCTGATCTTAATGATATCTATTCTTTTTTTTCTGAAGGCTTCAGGTTTTTGGAAAACTTGTATTTTCAAATTTTGATCTGAAATAGAAAATTCAACTAGAATAGCTGACATAAAAAAAATTTAGAAATTTCAAGAAAGCTATTCTAGTTGAGTTTTCTATTTCAGATCAAAATTTGAAAATACAATTTTTCCGAAAATCTGAAGTCTTCAGAAAAGAAATCGATAGCCTAGTCAAATCTCAATAGGAAGCAAAATCCTTTTTAGGGGTTTTTATTAGTACACTATGCAATATCTTTAGGCAAAAAAAACCATTGAAATTGAAAGGAGTATCTTAGGAGGTGCTCTTTTGAGTGCAAAAACTCTGCATCAGAAAAACTCTCTGTCCAGAGCTATAGCTAGTCATAGTTAAAGCAACATCTCATACCGCAAAATAGCTGAAAAGCAGAGATATTCTTTCCTAATAGAGTTAGCATATATATATGTACTATCCAAGATCAATTGAAAAATTTTAGTTATTTCCGAGTAGATAATTTCTCCTATGTATAAAAATCTCGTTAATTCTATTCTGTCCGAAAGATTTTTGTTTTTATGATTTCGTCGAAGTCTTTGTTACAATTCTAATCGAATGAATAAACATTTAAAGCATGTGATTAAAATAGTTGATTAGTTAAGAATGATAGTTTGTTTGGTTCGATTCTACATTGAAGTATAATATTTTATATATATATATATATATATATTTAGACAAATCGAAAAAAAGAAAATGGAAGTCCATTACATGTAGGACAATTATATCAACATATTGATGAAGGTTAGTAATAATAAATAGATAGGTTATTAAAATCGTTTCTCATATTGCAATTGATGATTTGGAGAATAATCTGAATATAAATCATGTTGTTATTTATTCAAAATTGCAAGCTTTGATCCCTCTGATGCAATAAATGAGACAACGAAAAATAGAAGAAAAAAAAAAAAGAAAATTTTTATTTTTTCGTTTCTTTGACAATAAAATAAAAATCATCTAGATCATAAAGAGGGTACGACACCGAATGATTCGTCTGTATCTCTTTCATCATCATTAATTCGTCATTCAACATTAGCTAAACGACAACGTCTTTCAACAAGTGGTCAATTGGATCCTCTAAATACACAAAATAATCCTTCAATGATTAATATATCACAACCAACAAATGATTTGTTATCACCAAATCATCATCAAACAACAATAAATGATGATAATAATTCAAATATTCATCCACGACAACAACAACGTAAATTAGATCCACGTTCATGTTCAGAATGTGGTAAAGTATTATTTAGTGATAGAACATTATTACTTCATTGTCAAACACATGCAAAAAATGAAAAACAATGCTGGATATGTGGAATAAATGATGATTCTATTAAGAAACATATTATTAATGAACATGGAAATCAAAAAATTACAAATACTGGTTTCAAAGTAAAGATAAAAAAAAAAAAAATTCTTTTTATTATTATTAACAAAATCTTTTTTTTTTTTGTGTCTGTTTAGTGTCAACATTGTGACAAAGTTTTCCCTGTTTTTGCTGATTTAGAAAATCATACCAAAGAACATAGCAAGAAGAAGGTTCAGTTTTATTCTTTATTAATATCGAGAAAAAAAAACCAACTGATTATTTTTTAGCCTTTTGAATGTCCAATATGTAATAAACGTTTTGGTCAACAAGGAAATTTAAGTTGTCATTTACGAATTCATAGTGGTGTTAAAGTATGATTTATATAAATATATAGAAGAAAAACAAAATCAATCATTCTTGCATTTGTTTTTTTCTTTTCTTTTTTTTTTTTTTGCTTTTTAAAGCCATTTACTTGTGCAAATTGTGGTAAAGCATTTCGTCATTCAAACAGTTTACGACGTCATGCACGAACGGTTCATTCAGCATCTCGTGGTTTAACACCAACGAATTCACTTCTTCTTCCAACTACTACAAACTCATTATCTAATGATATGAAAGCTGAAACATATGATGATATTCCATCATCACTTATGATGCCATCTGATGATGGTTCATCATCAACAGGTGGTATTCCATCACCTTCAATATCTAATGCACAAGTTGATAGTGATTCACACGAACAATTGGGAACAAATTGATCTGTAGAAACATTGTTTATTCATTGGCAATACGAATCGTTTAGTTTCTGTTTTATATGTTTGCATGTGCGTGCGTGTGCGTGTGTGTGTGTGTGTGTGTATGCTTGGCCTACTAGTTCTACATGTTTATGTGAATTTGTACAGTTTTATCTGATGTACTAGTGAACAGTATTTCTTTTTTGTAGAATGGCCTTTTCTCTTTTTTTTTATATTTGAGAACAGTGACTCCATTTATCTTGTGTTTTCTTTTATGGCAGTATTTTTTCCATCATTTCAGTCAATACCATCATTATTGTTTGTGTCTCTGTTTATGATGCCGGTGATAACATAGATCAGAAAACAAAAACAAAAAAAAAAAAAAACAAGCGAAACTATATCTTATTCGAACAGTGTTTATTATATGCGTATCGTTCCGGTGTGCGTGTCAGAGAGCGAGAGGAAGAAAAAGAAACCAAGCATATAAAGAAGAAGAAGAAATGTTAACATCGGCTGATTATCTCCCTTCGTCCCTCCCTAACTTTTGTTCACTCCCGGTCCGTAATTTTTCATTTTGTTTGTGTCCTTTTTCATCAGTTTTTTGTCTATTCTATATCTAGTCTCGATATTTTTCTATTTGTTTCATTGTATACATATATGCTCCATTCGTTTATGGTTAAGGGTCTATGCAACTTGTCATGTATGTCTTGGTTCTTTTTTTGTCAAAAATCATGTAATTCTTTGTAACCAATGTTCTCTTTATTATTAGTTGATATTTCTTTATACAAAAAAAAAAAAAAAACAAAAAATAACTAGAATGTTGCATCCTTTTCTTTTCTTTCTTTATAGTGCAACACTAGATCTTTTGGTGCTGCTAATGTTTTCTTTCTTTCGTTATATTACTACTTACAGTGTATCTCGAGATCATATGTAACTTTTTTTTTTTGTTTTCTATCTTTTTTTTTTCTTTGTTTATTCAATCTCCTTAAGTTTTTTTTTTTTCTCTTTTGTCTAACTTGCTATTATTCTTATAACTACTTATACCATTACACTACACTATTACAGTTTCTTGAGAATATTTATGTGAAAAACGAGAACGCGTGCTATTACTACTATTACTGTTGGTTCGAATAAATTCTAAATTGGAATATATACATATATATACATAAACGAGAAAAATATTTTTTTTGTCTTTTTTTTTTGTTTTTACTTTTGATCTATTTGTGTATGATAAAGGGAAATAGGTTTTGATTATTTTGTATAATACGGTCTAAAACCAGTATAGAACTAGAGATATTGACCCACGCCTCCATTTCCTCATCCACAGACCATAACAGACACCTTGGTAATCGATGACAGACCGTGACGGGCACCTTGAAGTTTATCACAGACCGTGACAGACGTTATTGATATACTATCAAAGACTGTATGTCAATAGTGTCTTGTTCTAATACATGAAGCATTCCCAGTTGTATCGCGTTCCGCATTGACTATCTCCTTTGGTTAAGTTTTCCATGTTTTGAAAATCTTTTCGGAAATTATTTCTGTTTTTTTTTTCAGAATATTTTTGAATTAAGAAATAAAATCAATGCTACAAAGGATAAAGAACTTTAATATTGAGCAAGAGGATCGAGGAGATGATCTCTCTAAATCTTGAAACATGTTCGATCCTCCTTCAAAGTTCGATCAACTTTAGCAAAAATCATGCCATCAAGTCCTCCTCGTAATTTATATTGATCATCTTAAAATAACAAAAAAAAAAAATTAACATTTTTTTGTTTAAAATTTTTTTTGAAGATGACTGGATTTACAAGCAAAATAATCTTAAACAATGACAAAGAAGAAGCACTCGTAAGTTTATTTACAACATCAAAATGAATAATGATAACGAGCAGGCAGGTTTTTTTTTTTTTAATTTTTTCTTCATTTGAGTATATAAAAATACGTTTTATACGAAAAGTCATATTTTTATATTGTAGGATTGTACATATTGAGTGATGATTAAGAACAAATTCATTCTTCTCTATCTTTCGATATGTTTTGAATTCGACCATGAGAAGATCAACTATTAATTGATATGATTGAGCAGCATGAGTCAAAAAAGTATATCTATCTTGTTATTTGATTTATGTATAAAAAAAAAAAAAAATTAATTAAATAAAAACAAAAAATTTATTATTTATATATGTTCAGTTAGATTTGAGAATTATTTATTTAATTTTATTTATATTATTTCATTTGATATACATATATATTGTAGAAATTTAATCTTCTATTTTTCTACTTGTCATGGCTGATATTGAACCTGTAAAACAGAATCAAGATCTTGAACCAGAACAAAAACGTAAAGTTTTTATTGGAAGTTTATCTTATAATATAGATGAGAATGCATTTCGTGAATATTGGACGAAATTTGGTCCGGTTATGTAAGTTGATTTGGCTTTTTTTTTTCTTTTTGATTCTTTATGAATTAAAATTTTATTTAGAGAAGCATCGATTTTACGTGATCGTGATGGTCATTCACGTGGTTTTGGTTTTGTTACATTTGCTGATTCAGCAAGTGTTGATGCTGTTATGCTAGCACGACCACATACACTTGATAATCGTGTTGTCGAACCAAAACGTGCAGTAAATAAATAAAAAAAACTATTAAATCATTTTATTAATTTACTTTTATTATAAATTAAGATTCCACGTGAAGAAACTCATAAACCAAATATGCAATTATCAGTCAAAAAACTTTATTTAGGTGGTGTTAAAGAACCAATAACAGAGAATGATCTTAAAGATTATTTTAGTAAATTTGGGTCAATAGTCGATGTTGTTGTTATGAAAGATCGTGATGGACAATATCGAGGGTATATATATATTTATTTTGACATTAATAATTTATATTATTCTTTCTTTGTAGTTATGGATTTGTTGAATTTGATGAGTAAGTTATTCGTTAAATTTTTGAATAAAAAGATCCTGTCGAATAAGATGAACACCTTTCATTTTAATATTCTCAGAAGTCATATACCAGTTAAAGGATATTATAGTAATTGTAGATGATATGACTAAATATTAGAACTCAATATGTCTTCAAATCAACCTAAATTAAATTTTGTTTATAATTACTTCAATAGTGTGTATATCTAATACTATTCATAATAACTATCTTCGTACCTGAAACTTTAACATTTTTACTAGTTTCTGTAATTTTTGGTTTTTATGATGTTTTAAATTCTTCGGTGATGCTCCTGAAGACAAAAGCGACCAATTACGCAGCTTCCTCAGATATTATGTATCACCAAGCTCTACAAATATGTCAATTTATGTACATCATAGTTAAATCGGTCAATTAATACCTAAAAAAAAGATCAATTTTTCGATTGCTAAAGACAGAAAAGTTTCTATCTATTAACAATAAGGTCATCATGTCCTATCATCATATATATGGATCTTTCGAAAATAGGAAAAAAAACTTTTTCGTCTTCGAATCCCTAGAACGAGATAAGGGAATAGAATATTACAAATGTAGAACTTAATGATACATCATTTCTGAGAAAGTTGAACAGTTGATCGCCTTTATCCTCAGAAGCAATATCGAAGAATTTAAAACGTCATAAAAACTAAAAGTTACAGAAGCTAATAAAACTGTAAAGGTTGCGGGTACGAAAAAAAAGCTATTTTAAGTTTTATTAGATATGTACGATTGAAGACCACATAAATTATTCATAATTGTTGTAATACCTCTCAACTAGTATATGGCTTCTGAAAAAAAAAAACTTGATGAAAAAGCAATTTTCTATATACCATTCGATGCATCACGAGCTGCTCTACAATATGGTATAGGTGGCGCTTTAAATGAAGGAGGATCATATTATCCGACAGAGTCCTTTATTTTGTTTTTTTTTTTGAATAAATAGTTATGATCCGGTGGATAAAATTATACTTGAAAAAAGTCATCTTGTATGTGGTCGACAATTAGATGTTCAAAAAGCTCAATCACGAGATGCATCACAACGTTCTGGCAATACACGACCTCGACAAGGACCACCATCAACATCGCGATCAAATTATAATAGTGGTTATAATAATTATCAACAAGATAATATGAATGATCCATTTGGACAAATGCCAAATAATAATTTTAATGGATATGGATCAAATTTCACTGAAGGTAATGGTAATTGGACTTCATTTGGACAAGGGTAAATTAAAAATTTGTTATTTTTTTTAATTTTCCTTTTTTTTTGAATGATTTTATTATTAAGATATGGTCAACAAAATGTAGGTGGACCTATGCGACGTGGAAATATGAGTGGTGGCGGTGGCGGTGGACACGGTCGTGGTTATACACCTTATAATGGTCGCGGTAGTGGCGGTGGTCGAGGTCGCGGTGGTGGAAATCGAGGAGGTCCATCATGGACTTCATGGAATTAAGATGAATATTGACCTTGTTATATAATGATGTTCTATTAAAAATTCCTTTTTTTTCCTTTATTTGTTATCGTTCATTATGTATGTATATCATGATATTGATTAAAACAAAGCAAAACAAAAATAAAAAAAAAAGTTACTATTGATAGAATAATCTTCTGTTATTCTTCATCGTTTACAATCATAATACAAGTTTATTATAATATAGAATAAGAAAAAAAGATGAAAAAGGAAAATCTTAATCTTTGAAATTTTTTTCAAGTTCAGGAAAAAAGAATCCATTAGATATTGCTGATTTATATAATTTCTCATTGTTGGTATTCAAATAAATTCATGCTATCATTTGTTATAGTGTCTTTCATAATCCTCAACTAATAATTCGATGTTTCTCGACTGATTATGTCTCAATTCAATTTTTTCCAGATTCGACTCATGCTGAAAAAAAACCGATTCCAAACTTGTCACATCTCTAATTTGATCCTTATTTGCCAATTAATTAAGATAAGTGAAATAAGTAACAGAGATAATGAATTATTTCCTCTATATATTAAAAGAGTAAGTGACATATATATAAATAACAAAGAAAGAAGCAAAAGAACAACAACAAAATAACGATAGAAGTTATTTCTTCGCTAAAGAGGTTGTTGCCGTACAATCGGATACAATAACTACATATAGTTGTACTTTGTCGAATTCTTTTCTCTCATGTACTTGGAATACACCAATCAGTTTTTCATTAACAATTAGATCGATGTTTTGCGTTTATTAGTTAGTCATCTCACGAGATATGGCATATTATATATATACCTTCAACTTAAATGGAACAATCTATGTTAATTGTCAATCAGAGATAAGTTGGAGGTGAACCAACGATTGTTCAATCATATTAATAATATCTCAATGAGGCTGTAATAGTATCCTGCAACTCGATCAGATATTCGACCTGATATTTAATGAGATGTCACCGTTTCAAAAATATTTTTTATTTTTTCAAACTGCTATTTGAATAAAAGCATACAAGTGAAAACCGACTTTTTTTTTTACTACAAGAATTCTTTTTTTAATAAAAATTCATCTATAGATAACGATAAACCATATGATGAAGTAACTGAATAGATGACGAGCACAATGAATCATAAGAAAAGATGAACATTTATTATCATGATTGAAGGAAGCATTGATGTGTATGTATCCGTAGTTATGATGGTTGGTAACAACACTAGATTCCATTCCAGCGTCATCAATAACAAGCAAATGTATACTTAGCGAAATTGATTGAATTTGAGATGATCTCTTTATTTATTTTTTTTTCGTTACTATTTATAGAAGAAATGAAATAGTTTACTTTTTCATATAAAATAAAAGTTTGAAAATTGTATTGTAACTAGTCTATAATCATATAAGTCTAGTTAATATTTCGAGATTAGATTTGAAAACTATTTGATCAACATTATACAAAATAGAGAGAAGGTTCACGATACCTATTATGTTTTCATATTGAATTAGTTCAAAATTTAATGAAAAATAATTAATTTCATTTCTCATCTGATACGTATTGACAGTCTTGTTTTATCTTTTATTTTTTTGTTTTCTTATTGATCATATCTCTCTCTGTTTATTGTTTTTAATCATGAGAAAAGATCTTTACTAATATTCTATGCATATTTACCGAATAATTGTTTCTTTTTTCGTCAAGGATATATGCTTATTATCATTTCATTAGATAGGAGGAGAGACATAATTGATTCAACGTCTTTGAAGTTCATTGAATCAAATAGATACTCATCGATTTGACAACAAAATAACAAGACAATGTATATATGTCAAATATATATCTATATGATAGACATAGATCGTACTCGATACGTTGACCTTTTGGCCTAAATGATTTTTCGGTCGAAACTCGATCTATTGATGGTGATTAGTGTATGTGAATGAGAGAGAGAGAGAGGAGAGTTCATACATGCTGTTGGATATAAACACAAATGAGACGTGCCTGTTGTTATAGTTAAAGTTTCTATGGGGTGTGGCTGCTTGTCGTCAGCAAAAGGTTGTATAGATCGTTTACATTCACACAATTCAATTGACAGCATAAATTAGGCGCATATTTTAGTTGATCAAGGATCATTAAAATAAAAACTAAACGTCAGAAATATGACAATTTCTCTTATTATAATAATTATTATTATGAAAAAAAAAGAAAAAGAAACAGAACAAAAAAAAAAAACGTGCAATATGAACAAATAGAGAAACAAAACTAGAAATAATAAAGATCTGCCTATTCGCATCCATTTATCAATAGATATGACTTGTTAATGATGTTGCTCAATTTTCTCTTATGTTTTCACTGTCCATATTAAATTAATAATAATCGTCTATTTCTTTTTGTGACTAGAATTTTGTTTCTCAAATAAAGAACGAAATATCGGTTGTTTTTTTTTATTTTTACATTTATGATGAACATGTTGTAGTCGAAGGTGAAATAAAATTGTACAATGAATGATGTTGAAATAAATTCGTAGCATATTCTTTCATTTGTATTAAACGATATTTTTCTGTATCAGCTTCAGCTAAACGTTTTTCTTTTGCTCGACGATTTTGAAACCAAATCTAAATAATAAGAAAAAACATTTTTGATTGAAAAAAGAAAAGAACCTATTTCAAATATATATATATTACATACTTTAACTTGTGTTTCAGTTAAATTAAGTGATGATGAAAATTCTGCTCGTTCAGCTATTGTTAAATATTGTTTATCACGAAATTTTTTTTCTAATGCAAGTAATTGTGATGTTGTAAATGGTGTTCGTGGTTTACGATTTTGTTTATGTTTACGTAAAGAACATATTTTAGCATTTATTTTAGGTAATTCATTATTACGTGCTTTATCAATTATATCTGCATCAGGTAACCATGATAATCTTGTTATAATACTATTTCTACCTGTTGATGATGTTGGTGAATATTGAAAACTTTCATTACTTGTTGAATCAATTAACGAACGTATACTAAAATCAGTTGGACGTTTACTTTTTTTTAATGGTGGTTCCATAGTTTTTTATTAGATATGAATAAGATATAATTTGTGAAATCAAATATTTACATCTTTTTTTTTTTTGGTTTTTTTTCTCGTTTTTCTATCGTCTAGAAAAGAAAAGAAAAAATATGATTGGTTTGAGCATTGAACTAAGACGAAGAAAATTATTTATTGGACGAATAAAAAAAAGGGAGAGAGAGAGAAGAAAAAAAGGTGATTATTTCTTTTTTTTTTTTTCTTCTTCTTTCTCTCCGATCGATCGGGAAGAAAAAAAAAAAAGAAGAGGAAACGAGAGCTTATCCCTAGGAGACGGAAATATGGATTTTTTTCTCTATCAAAGGAAATTGCCTTTCTTCAGTCAACCTAGAAAAAAAAAATACTTTTTAATCATCATCATATGCACTCTTCTTTTTTTTTATTGATGAAGGTCATAGAAATAAATAAAGGATATCAATCAAAATAAAATAGTGACATATCAAATGATCATTATATCGTCTATATTAACAAATCCGAACCATTTCAATCTAGACAAGTTACCTACCAGGTAAAATGACAAATTCATCTTTGATTTCATGTTGTTGGTTACTTTTTATTTTATTTCCAAATAAATCAAATGAAATAATTACATGATTAATAATTGAAGAAGAAGAACAAAAAAAAAAAAAAACAATTGTGTCATAAAATGTGATTGATTTGATGATCTGTACTAGATATTCTTTTAACGGAAGTGAATCGTTTGATGAAAACGATCTAGATCCATCATAATACTATTCAACCCAGATGCCCTAATATAGGAGAAAGAAAACACGAACGGATATCGGCATCTTTTAACAAATACAGATATATTATACATATATACAAGTCGCGCAATTATCAAGGAAAAAAACAGATGAGTTTAAAGAGTATAAATCAATATTAAGAAGATTCAAACATTAAAATTTAAAATATTTTTTATCTTTCAACATCATTAAATATATCCATTGAAAATATCATCGTCAGTCAAATGTCAAACGGTTATTATATTCATTGATCAATTTCTATAACCGTATGATTCAATGATTTGGAAAAGATTTTATAGAGAGAGAAAGAGAATGGTTCACTAAATAATCATTGTTTTTCTCACTTTATATAAATAACAACACATCGTCACGATTTATTAATAAAAAAAAAAAAAAAGCGAAAATGTAAATTTCAATTCTTCATCTCTCATGTTTTCTTTTTTTTTTGTGTCATGAAGTAGCTGACAGACAATGCACATGTCAATTGAATATTTATTCACTCGAATTAATAAATTTTTGACATTTGAAACATGCAAGCAACTTTCAATTGACTTTATATTTAAAAATAATATATGTGTGACAACAATATAATTCAGAAAAATTAATGGTCATATCTTCATCGTGTAGGATAAATGATAAATGAGAAAGACAGAGAGAGAGACAATTAACAAAATATATACATAAAATACTATTTAACAAACCATATTTTTATGAATCAATTAGAGAAAAGAGAAATCTTTCTCGTTATTTTTCCAGACAATATCGATTAACCAGACAATTGTTTCAACATAAAGCCTATGAGAATCTGGTATTCTCCTATTTTGTTTCTGTTTAGAACAAACGACACTAACTATCTCATTAGTTCGTTCTAACACGATAACCGTCCTTCTTTTATATATATATATATAAACATTAAATGGTTGAGACGTGACACAACGAGTCAATTGCCATTCGCTTGATGAGGCTAATCGACTATTAACGAACGCGTTTATTTCCAAACTAAGAACTTTTAATCGTCAATAAATAGACATTATATACTGTGTATACATTAAAAAAAAAAAAAAAGTGATGCCTGACAAAAAGAAGACTAGTTTTACAAAAGGAAACAAAAAAAAAAAAAAAAAAAAGGAGAAAATTTTCATATCTATCAAAAAGGAAAATAAGTTGAATTCATTTCAAATTGTTTT